GCTACTTTTACAATCACTGTGAAAGTGCCCACCCAAGATTAGAGCGGTAATTTACGATTATATTCATCATTGATTGATTGGTTAGTCTCTAAAATGTCAATCCAATTTCCTTAAGGTCCAAGGTGACGTTTTAAATGTATTGTTTTTAGAGCACATGTGTCAAACTCAAGGCCGGGGGCCAAATCAGGCCCTTGGTGGATTTAATTTCGGCCCGCAGGATAATTACTATTAGATCTGGCCTGCCGGTATATTGCACGCACACCTTCACTCAATCCTGAGGGTCTCCTCAGCTCAGAGCCTGACCCCAAACATTGATGAACTTGCACCCAAGATGAGATGCCAAGTATCTGGCTTGAGCTAGCATCACAGAGCAGCACACTGAGTTTCCATGGATGTTTCCTTCTGCACTTTTTCTCTCACGACAAAAGGGCATGTTTGGTTTTTCATTGAGGGAAATAGTTTTTTTGAAGCTGTTGTTGGCCTGTGGGAATGTGATCATAAGAAATGACTCTGGGAGAAGCTGCAGATAGAGCCATGAGAAATGAATGCAACTGATTATTTAATGTTTAATGATGTTTTTATAGGCAATCATTTAAGCTTTGTTAGTTCCAGGTTGAATATGTGCAATAAGTTCATTTCAATACGTTCTGCAATAAACATTGAACCAGTCCGGCCCTCGACTGGTACCCATTTTTTTAATTTTGGCCCACTGTGTATTTGAGTTTGACACCCCTGATCTTGTGTTTATGTTAAATTCTCATGATGTCTTTTTTCTACAAAAACCTGTCAATCAACCTCCTTTTGTAGGTGTTGCACTATATTTTCCTTTAGTGTGGCTAAAACTAAGTTTCTTTAGCACTGTAAAGGACGCCTTCCTGGAAATTAACCTGTAAAAGTTGATTGAAACATTATCTGTACAGTATCTTCAGTTTGTTCACCTTGATGTCTCTGTGTGCTATCTGGTTGTCGTGCAGGTATTTGACTCCCTCCAGGATCTGCCGTGTGTAGAAGCCGATGGTGGGCTCGTTGTTTTTCAGAGGACCCCACTTAGACCTCAGCAGAGCAGACAGGCTCCCTGGACGCCACAAAACCAAAAAACAACAATCAATAAACTCCCTCTGAGCCGCAGCACAGATCTGATAACTCTGCATTTCAGACACTGAGACTGAAGTGTTTTTTCCCTACGTTGACACCTCAGATAAATCCTGAACAAACTCTATTTTATAAGTATTTATTTCAGAAATAGCTTGATTGCCAAACAGAGGTGGTTCAGATTGTTAAAGAAGGATTTCCACGTTGAGGAAATATGCCACCACAAGTCCTGCGTTCAAAAGATTACTACATAATCAAATCTCATTCTCTAAAAAGTCAACTTTTCACAAGCTCACAAAAATAGTCCAGATGTGACGACGCAAGCAGCGATTTGACGAGGAACACTTTATCCTTCAGAAAATATCAGATATCAAATTGAAAGTTAAAAAGTGGATGATGTTTCATAATATCTAACTATACAAATATGTTATATTAATATTCAGAGCAAATGTATTATTTTCACACATAAAAGCCTCACCTCCGGGCACCTGCTCCATGAAGATCTTGATGAAGCCGTTCTCGCTGATGGAGCCGAGGTACTGGACGATGTTCTTGTGCTTTAAGTGTTTGTGCAGAGCGATCTCCTCGTGGAGCGGCTGAGAGTACCTGTATTTTAATAAAAAAACACTTTGTTAAAGTACTGAATGTCTCTTTTCATCGTGTCTACAGTCACAGATTTTTGCAGTTCTTTATCTCCCTTTTGTGGGATTGTGAAGATATTATGTTGAGTTTGTCAGAATGATTAATGTCTTTCATGTTCAAAGATCCCAATTTTAGGTGAAGTGTTGAAAAAGTAATGATGTAGTTTTTCTGATTACAATTTTTTACAATGACTCCAGTTGTTGACGTCATTAAAGCTGCCAAATGAAAGGTAGTGAAACTAGAAATAAAATGTCTACTTTTTTTTTGTTCCAAAAAACTGAAGAACAAATAAAGGTGGGGTAGGTAAGTTTGAGAAACCGGCTCGAGATACACTTGTTGTTATATTGCATGGAATGCTCTTAACATCCCGATAGCCATGAATATCTGAAGTGCTTTGACAAAAAATCCATAAAAAATGTCATCTGTGGAAGCTGTGGTGCTGTAAAAAGCACGACCAATCATCTGAGCCGGCCCGGCTAAAATAACTGGATGGCCTACCTGCCTGTCAGCCTTCCATCTGGGCACAAACTTATCTCGTGCCCTCATTGGTCATGTGCGCGTCCGTGTGTGTTGGAGGAGGGGCTCTGTGAGGAAGTGGCAGATTTTTTTCTGGTTCTGTGTTTTCAAACTTCTAGCGCACTCCAGCTGGTTTCTCCAAAATGAACTACCCCACCTTTAAGGATGGAAATAGGTTTGCAAAAGAACAGAAATGTGAGAGAAATGTAAATATAAATTCCGGACAAAGCTGCAGCCTGATGACGCTTAGTGAAGACCCCCTTAGTTTCACGTTTTATTGCAGTGAATACCACTTAAGGATACATTTCCAACATGCAAAGTAGTCAGAAAGACTAAATAAAGGTTAGGTTATTTATGTTTCTTGTTTATGTTTTTTGCTTGGTTAGGTTTAGTTTACAAAACAACTCAGTTAGGTTTTGGTTCAGACGATGGTTTTGGTTAAAATCTACCAAACACTGAACATCAAAGCATGGAAACATGTCCCAGTATAGAATCACAAAATACAAATATGAACCTGAACCTGAGCATAACGGAGCCCCTTTATCTCTTTCAATGCCCTTTTAGTTACACTTTTCATTTGTTGTTGTGATATTAATGAACATGTAACCGTAATTCTTGACATATATT